TTGCGCCTGTCGCGGGAGAAAAAGGACCAATTAGCAATGATTCCGTCATCAGAAGTCTTTCGACTCCCTCACGCCTGCTCCATTGTTCCTCTCATATGTTGTAGTTGGCCGTCTTCCTCCTTCGTTTCCGTGATGCGCAAGTTCCTCGCCGCGCAGACTGCCTCTTCGAACGACCAGGTCTTCCTCTCACTCATCACTCCATCAAACATACCCACCATCGTGGTCAGCGTCTCCGCGACACCCCGAAGGAGGCATGGCGAGAGGATCAGGTCGGGAGCCCGTCGTAATCGGCCGTCTTTTCAGATGCGGCAGTGGCAGTCGTACGCGGCGTCATCGAAACACACACATCTCGGTCGGAAGGATGGAACAACGGTTGATATTTTTTCGAGGTTCGGAAATCGGGCTTTTCTTCAAGGGTAGCGGTTGGAACCTACATCGACATCGCGGACAGAGACACCACCGGCCATTTTTGCGGTATTGATTGGGTTGGGTTGGGTGGGGGAGGGACTGGTACGGCGCTGGGCGTTTGGGAAAAAAGTTGGGCGATGAAGTCGGTCGGGTCAGCAAGCTAGATTTCGCGATCACGGAAAAAAAGTTTGGTGGTTTGGAAAATTGCGATTCGGCAGGGTTGGAAAGCCCTTGTGGTCCGTGCGTGGAATCACGTGGACATGGCTGCCAAGGATTAGGTAAGATGGCTCGCGCTAACCGCAATTGGATGCGGCTTCGAGGTGGGGTAAGTTCTGCAGCTGCAGATTCGGGGCCGGCATGAGAGATTGCAGATTCATGTAGTCAAGACCAGGGACTTGAATTTGATGTTGAGAGCCTTCTCACTAACGCTTTCATTATCACATGTTACTCCTGCATAGTTGAGACCTGGATGGACACCTTCAATGCCACTCCTCACTCAAAGCTCAGCACGGCATCACCAGTCACAATAGTTGAACGGATGCATCAAGTCTCGAATCAATGATCATTATTACGTGCCCTGAAGGCAGGATGCAGAACTCCTGCCCATGCAAAAAATCCAAAATGCCTACGACGGGAATCCCTCAAACCATACAGCAGAGCAGGCTCACAAGACCCAGGTATCATTCTCAATCCCAATCCCATACATATCCCATGTCCCATATCTAACCATTTTCAACGTCTAGTTCAGTTCATTTCAGTGCAACGGCTTCCGCCACCAGTTATGCTCCTAAGCCCAGTTGGCCAGGACGGCCATCACGCCGGCACCGAGGGCAACGCAGCCGAAAGCAAAGAGCTGGATCTTGAGCGGAGAGTTGCGCATCTGGGGGTTGAACATGAACTCGTGCGCCAGCAGCTCAACGAGACCCGTGTACATGAGAATTCCGGCGCTGATAGAGTCGAAGATGCCGTTGACGAGAGTCTGCGTCTCGGCGCTGCTGGGCCTGGCGGCAAGACCGACGGCGATGGCAACGGGGGTCGAGAGTCCGTACAGGCAGGCGAGGATGTGCGGCCACCACTTTCCATGCGAGGGCCACTGGGCGACAGCAAGACGGGAGCCGAGACCGAGACCCTCGAAAAACTGGTGGAAGGTCAAGACGATGAGGAGGACGACGAGCTCATCGCTGGTGGCGAGGACGAGACCGATGAAAATGGAGTGGAACACAACACCGAACTCGAGGATGAAGATGGCCGTGAGCTGACCTGTGAGACCGGAGTGGCTGTCTCCCTCGACGTGGTCGCGGGCGTGGCCGAGGTGGTCGCGTCCGCCGGGAGGGTAGCTGACGTCGTCCGGAAGTCCGGGCACCTTTCTGGGGTCGACGAAGCCGTTACCTCTCTCGGCGTCGCCGTTGTCGTGGGGGCAAACCTCGCTGGCGCTACCGTCGGTGGCCTGGTCCTTGGACTTGACAGCGACAGCACCAGTGCCGTTCATCTCGTGGTCGTGGCTGTGGGAGAAAGCGCTGCCGTTGGTCATGTTGGAGGCAACCATCTCGATGAGGAACATGACCATGACGGTCATCAGGCCGATGGCAAAGGCCCAGTCGTAGTCTCCGAGCCTGGGAGCCAAGCACTCGTTGTGAAGAGCCTCGACACCGGGGGCGAGCAGGTGCATCCACGCAGTGGCGATGATGACACCGGTACCGACATACTTGAAGATGAAGAAGGTCATCTTGGGGACGTGCATCCTGGTGGTCCTGGCGAGGAAGATGGGCAGGAAACCGCCGAGAAGCGAGGCGACGAGGATGATGAAGATGGAGGCGATGCGCAGAGGCATGTTGCTCACGTCGACGGCGGCGGCGCCGCAGGCATTCGTGGTAGCATCGGTGGCATCAGAGCCAGCGTCCTGGCGGGCAGCGAGAAGCCTCGCCGCAGAAATCTGGAGAGGGTTCATGTTGGTTGTTGTTGGAGGTGAATGCTATGAAATAGCAAGGGAGACAAGCGTCTTCTCCGAGCAGGTAGAAACCCGTAAGGCGATGGCGGCTCAAAGGTTACACGCGTTCAAGCCTTGGATGACGGGAGCTTCGAACTGTGCGTTCCCGGGGGAATGGGTCAAGTGCCGGCAGGGTGCGTCTGGCTTTGTGGTGACACAGAATGCTGAGCTTGTCGGGGAGCTGGTTGGCGGGGGTGAGAAGCAGCAAGGGACGATGAAGATCGTGTGGTGATGGATCCTCGCCTGTCTTGGCTTGCAGCTTGGCGTCTTGGTAAAGAGAAGATGAGGCTCTGAGGCGGACCTGGGCAGTATATAAAATGCGCCTTGAGCAGGGGGTCGTCCTCGAAAAGGTTGAAGAAGGCGAGTTCGAGGTTTTCCTGGGCGGGGTGGGCGACAGACAAGAGGGTGGGTGGTGCGGCGCTGGTGGTGGGAAGAGAGATGTCGAGAACCCGGATGGTCGTCGGTCGCGGGGGTTCGTCGGTTTAGATGGACATAAGAGGACGGACACACCCCCCCCCCCGCTAACGGCAATGGACTCGACGAGGGAACGGGAGAACCACAAAAGGTCGGGAAACCCGGCACCCTGCAGGACAGGAGCAGGATCTTATTTCGTCGACTTGTCCGGTTTATTTCTTGTGATTCTTCTGTCGGAGGGGACGCGCGAGAAGGACGAGACGCAGACGACGTCAAGATGCACGCAGGCGAGGCGCTTCTGTGTGTCCCGGGTAAAGTGGACAAGGTAGAACAGATGCAGACAACTGGAGCCGTCTTGGGGGAAGGACGAGCCGAAGTTGCTTTTTTACAGTTTGGAGATGTTTCCTGAAATGCTCAAGAATAAAGAATCGTCTCAAGATAGAGTTTCGATGGTTGGGATGTCGTCGCTCGTGGTCGGGAAAAAAAAAAAAGGGCAGAGAGAGAGGAAAGGGTGCAGGAAGCTGAGCTCCATGGTAGACGGCAGCGGCGCATGCGGCTGCTGCCATGCGCGCAAAATCGTACACAAAAGTGAGGACCTTGATGGCCCGACGTTGGAGGGTCCACTTTAGCAGCTGGGTCCCGTCGCTACCTCACAGGCGCGCTTCCCTTATCAGCAGAGAAGCGAAGCGCAGCGCAGCGCAAACGCATGGAACAGGACCAAGACACTGGTCGAGACACCGCTCCCTGCAGCGCATGCCCGAAAACAGCAGGACATTGTTTATTTTTCTTACTGATGCTCTAAATTACGTCCTCGGCCCTATCACCACATTCAGTAGAAAAACAGGGGAAATCGAACAATTAGATAAACTCTCTTTTCATCAGCGCATCCCCCAACTTCCTCGTTGGCCCCCTCAAAAACTGGACAACACGGTTCGAGTCTCCACGAGTCCCAGCAGCTGTGCAGCTGTATCCTGTGCTGCACCCGTGTGGTAGGAGCGTCAGCTTTGAAACTGGCTCCATCCCTGCTCCCAGGCGCTAGCTCCGCCGCGCCCGCCCCACCGTCCGTCGCCATTCAGATTTTTTGCACCAGAATATGCCCGCTCTGATTGGCCCGAGAGCTTGGCCATCAAGGTTCTCCGCACTAGCTTAACCATCAAGGTCCTCACTCTACTCACTATTTCCCGCGCAAGGTGTGTGTCATGCCCGGGTCACTCGCCCGACGACAGACAACCTACCTCCCCTCATGACTTCACACTCTGACTGGTGGTGTCTCTGCTGATTGCGACTTGACGCTGCTACTGACTGGCTGCATGAAGGATAGAGCTGAGATGGCGGCGCACTAGATGTCAAGTGTGTTCGTGTCGGTCACTCCGCGGACTTGTGGTATTACGGGATGTTATGTTCAGATGCTTTCTTTATCGTTGCGATGGACGATTCAGGAGCTGTGGTGCTTTTGACTCGACGCGGGTCTTTATTATCTATACGCAAAATATCATTCGCCCGGTTCGGCAAACGTTCCTTGTACTTGTCAGGCCAGGTACATGGTCCTGCCGGACTGAGGCAGTCTTAGCAGTCCAAGACCACCGTCCACGACCCTGTCAAGCATTACCCAATGCACGCAACGACCCCCGACAGTGTCCAAGCCCTCTCTATCCAGAACCAACAAGCCATCCTCAAGTCGTAGAACCAACTCATCGCCAAGGAAGCTTGGCAGTCAGCTTCATCAACGAACCAAGCTTTAGCCAAGCCGGTCGCCTCCTCCACTGAAGGGCCTCCCATGCATGGCTTGGCTGAGGACATGGGAGGAGGAATCTCGAGAAATGAGCCCTCCATATTGCTGCGCAAAACAAATGGAGACTCTGTTGATGAGGAACTTTTGACCCTGGTCTCTGGGCGTAGCCAGCCAACCAACCATATGCACACCCCCTAACCGTGAGGCACGGCGTGGGCGACGACTGTCGTATCCGTTTCCATTCCAGTTCATGCAACCACAATATTTCCTCCCGCACGCCGTCTGCTGCAGCGGCGTCACTTCGGTTTGCGCCCTGCAAGTCCATACTGCTGGATTGGTAGACCGAGGTCGTGTCGGGGGTTGAGACCGCTGCGTCGGAGCTCACGTCGTATCGGGCAAAAACCTCATCTCGTCGTTACATCTCATCAGTTCAAGCTGCATACTGAGTGGGCGCCGCTCTCATGATGAAAACTGGATTTCCACGCCCAGGGTCCTGAACGGCGAGTCCAGCTTGCGCAGGTCGATCGCGCTGCCGAGGCTGAACAGCAGCGACTTCACCCTGCCCTCCCACAGCACCCCAATCTTCATGTGCTGATCGATCCGCGCCTTGATGACGCTGGTATACTCGTCATCCACGGCACCCGCACCCGGTGCCGTCGCCGTCGTCGTCCCATCATCCACCGTCGCAGGATCGTCCAATCTCCACTCCATCTTCGCCTGAAAGCTGCGTTCCCTCGGCTTCTCCTTCCGCTTCTCCTCCACAACCAGCCTCGGCTTCACCTCGGGCGCCGGCGGCGGCGAAAGGTCATCCAGCCGCCACTCCATCTTCGCCTGAAAACTCCGCTCCTTCTTCAGGAAATTTTCCGCCGAAAGCGCGGGGTGCTGCTGCTGCTGCTGCTGGTCGAGATCGCTGCGCAGCAGGTTCTTGCGCCACAGCTCCATGCCCACGGACCAGTCGCTCTCGTAGCTGTACACGTTAAAGTCCATCCTTGTCGCGAGGCTGCAGTGCCGGCCCGCCACGACGGCGTAGCTCGCGCTGATGTTGCCCATGAGCGGGTTCAGCGTCAGCGTCGCCGTGAGCGGCGTCCCGCGATGCTCCGGCAGCGTCGCGAAGCGCCCGCCGAGGCTGACGCCGCCCGACTTGTTCAGCGTGCCGTAGTAGATCTCCCCGCCGGCGCTGAAGCGGCCGTAGATGCGCTCCTTGGCATCCTCGGCCCCGGGCTTGCCGTTCGCAGGCCGTGTCGCCGGTGTCGGAGGCGGCGGTGGTGGTACGTCCTCCGCGTCGCCTCCAAAGTTGTACACGCCCCTGAAGCCCAGCAGCCCGCCGTCGGACGAGGCCAGGCCTTCCACCGCGTACCGCCCGACGTCGTACTGCGCCAGGCCCAGCAGCGTGCCGCCGTTGCGCAGGTTCTTGCTCGAGACGGCGCTGAGCTGGAGCTGCAGCGCGGGGGACACGCGCTTGACGACGAGGGCTTCGAGGAGCGACTCGGGCAGGTAGAGGCGGCCGTAGAGCAGCGACGCGGCGGCGGGGCTGAGGAGCGGGTATGGGGTGGCTGCAGGCAGGCGTCGGGGGAGGTCGGCGAGCGGACGGTAGGAGCGGAGGAGCGCCGGCAGAGGGACCGCGTCGGACTGCGGAGTGAGGCTTGCGCGGAGGGGCACGGAGGAGTAGAGGTAGGAGATGGAGCCGTCGACGACGCCCACGGAGCCGAGCTGGTACGAGGTCGCGTAGTGGGGGGTTGCGAGGGACGAGAGGGTAAGGCGCAGGCCTTGTGGTGTCGGGAAGTTGAGGAGAGCTGGAGATTGGGGGCTCAAGTCAGCCTGGTTGAAGTCGAAAGTAGAAGCAGCGGGCAGGCTGGTGGGGGAGACGCACCGTCGGCGGTCGAGTTGAGCGATGAGTAGGAGTTGTCGCGGTTCCAGCCGGTAGCCTCGTAGAAGGCACCCTGGACGTAGTTCATGAACTCGCGCATGGTGGGCGGGTGTGCCGTGTTGCCTCGCGGAGCAACGTGCTCTTTGGTACTATTGCGTCTGTGACATTTGCTGTGTTGCGTGGGTGAGTTGCGAGGGTTGAGATACCGAGGAGCTGGAAGGCTGTGATGATTTTACTTTGCCAATTGCAGTGTTGTCATGGGTGGGGCTGGCTTGTGACGGCATTGGGAGATTATGTAATCCACGTCGCCGACGAATGCCGCCTCACGAGTCTTGAACAGTTGAAGTCGTTTGGCCGTGATTTGGGTATTTCGTTGCCCACGATTGTCTGGTTCAACTGAAATTATATCTGAATGAGATTAGTATGAATTCTGATTAAATTTATGTAAAAATTGGTCATTTCTGTCCATCCTTCAATGTTGTGTGATTTTAGACATTCATTATTTTTCCAACTCAACTTCACAACGTACCATGCCTCCACGGAAGTTATCAACATTCTCTCGAAGATTCAGCACATATCCGAGGGTACGAAACGCTTGTGAAACCGATTTACACATAATTATTGAAGACGACACCATGGAATGATCATTACACTGCTTCAGATAAGACCATCGTGGCCAGCGACGCTCACAGCCATGCTGCTAAGCATGCAACCCCAAAACTCACATGAGCCCAACGAATGTAATGTCAAAGTCGTGCTGTGTTCCGACAATTATTGACTACTGAATGATAATCTACAATGCTCTAACCACAAAGAAAATCCGAAGAGAAGGCTTCCAAAAATGCTGCTTTTTTCTTTGTTTCATCGAAGAGATGGGGATATCACCAAACCACCCTCCTAGGCTCCTCACTCCACTCCGCCTCGCCCTCGCGCCTCACCCATAACTCGTTATACCTCTGCCCGCTGTCGTCCCGGTAGCACTCCGACCACACCTTGCCCGATATCCGCGCGTGGCGGGGCACGTCGCCCTCGCTGCGCACCACCACCTCCTCCGCCGCCTCCGCCTCCGCCGCCGCCGCCGCCTCCCTCAACGCGCCCTCCTCAATCTTGACAATCTCCTCCGCGAGCGCCGCGCACGCGAGGCTATCATACACGGCCTCCCGGCGCGGCCACCGCTTCAGCAGCGCGATCGCCCTTCGTCGGATGTCCGGGTTGCGGCACTTGACGGCCGTGTGATACAGGCACGAGATGGCGCCCATGTCCACGCTGAACCGCCACTGCGGGATCTCCGTCGTCTCGATCAGCCGCTCCGCGAGGCCGATCTGGTACTCGAACTGCGGCACCATCGTGTCGTAGAAGTTCTCGCCCTCGGTGGTGTTGTTCTCGCCGAGGAAGAGCAGCGTCGCGCCAATGTGCCACAGCCGCAAAATGTCCGCGCGCGGGTCCGCCGACTCCTCGGGGTGCCGCGCGAGGTACTCGTTCAGCGCGTCCTCCCAGCGCCGCAGCGAGCCGAGCGGGTCCTTCTGCATCGTCGTCGTGTCGCCGTAGAAGTCCGTCGTGTAGTACGTGATGAACTCGGGGAAGATGTACGCCAGCAGCAGCACCAGCCCGTCGCGCGCCTCGGTCAGCGTCGCGAAGGGGCCAAAGTGCCCGTCGTCCGCGGAGACGACCTGCACGGGGATCGTCGGCGGCGACGGCAGCGAGCGCGTGTGCAGCGCCATGGTGATGAAGATGGGCTTGAGCGCCTTCTGGATGAAGCGGCCCTCGGGCGAGTCGACGGGGGTCATGCCGGCGCGCTCGGCGGGGGCGAGCGGGGCCGTGTCGGAGAGCCACATGGCCATGGTGTTGAGGCTCGTCTGCAGGTGGATGTTGGCGTCGGCCTCGGTGCCGCGCAGCCAGTCGAAGGCGATGCACAGCGCGGCGCAGGTGAGGGTGACGTGCAGGTCGGTCCACTGGCGGGCGTGGATGTGGCGCTTGAAGAGGTGCAGGGCCTTGGTGTACTCCTCGTCGGCGCGGCGGCACAGCATGACGGCGTCCGGGTCGGGCTGCCTGGCGACGACGTCGTTGCGGTAGCCCTCGTGGCGGGCGCCGAGGGCGACGAGGATCTGGGCGACGCACGGCTCGGCGTGCGCCAGCTGGAGGACGGTGACGGCCCAGAAGTCGTTGTCGAAGTACCCGGCGAACTGCCGCGCGGACTCGGTCTGGAAGTACTTGAAGGCGCGCTCCGTCTTCTGGGTGAGCTTGACGGCGGAGGTGGTGAGGGCCGGGCGCAGGGCGACGGTGAGGTGCTGCTGCTGCTCGGCCGCCGGTCTCAGGGGCACGTTTGCCGCTGCTGCGCCGGCGCCGCCGCGGCGAGGCGGGTCGGGCCAGGTGCAGCCCGATTGATGTCTGATGCAGTTGTTGCACTTTGGCTTGGTCTCGTCACATTTCACACGCCGCGTGCTGTTGGTCGCGAGAACGTCACAAAGTCAGCCTTTGCCATTGCTGAAGTGTCTGCGCGCTCCATGTCTTTTCTCTTCTCTCTTTTTCTGTCATTCTCACACACGTGTCGCGTTGCCCAGAATTCCCGCTCATCGCGACTCAGAAACATGAAAAAGTGATGAAAATGCAGCCGCAGCGGGGCCGTCGGGGGAAAACACCACAGAGAAATGAGAGAAAAAGTTAAAAGGTACACGGCGCGCGCGCGCGTGGGCGGGCGCGATGTGGCGACTCGACAGAAAGGAGCTTACCGGCAGGTCAAGCAGCCCTCTCGAGAGCGCGGAGTCGACTTCCTCTTCCTCGGGGGCGGCTTCTGCTGGAGCGATGCGGCGGCATCACGGGCGTTGTTCGTGGTGATGGTGATGGTGGTGGTGGAGGACGTAGCGGGCGGTTGGCTGTTGGCCATGATGGTAGCCGGCTGCGGTGCGCGCGCGCAGGAGGGGGGGGACCGTGCAGTGAAACATGAAAACCCACTGGGACTACCATAGATAGAGATCTCGCACTACCTAGGTACGGACACGCAGCCAGATCTGTCTCTCCCCTCTTTCAGCTTCGGGCGTGGCTAGCTTGTGAGAAAGGATCGAGGAGGGGGCCGGGCGAGATGTGACAGGAGCACCGCCGCTCCACTAATGACGCGGGAGAAAAGAAAAGAAAAGAGGAAAGGGGGATTCTTGCTTAAATTGTCAAGGGGGACAGGTTGGTTGCGAGCGGCGGGCGACTAGTAGGCGAGACCCTCTGAAGGCGTGGGAAGGGGGGGAACGGGCAGTTTTGGGGGTTTGAGGGGGGAAACGAGAGCCCGGATTGCGGATGACCCCGGGCTGCCGGCCAAGCCATTCCCCGGCCCCGCACTCCGTGCCATGCGGACCAATTAACGGCGCCCGCTGCCCTCGACCCGGCCCACAGTCGCCTGAGGAGGACAGGGTTGTCATTGGCCCGTTGCCCGCGCGGTGCGCCAGTTTTTGCAGCGCTCGGCCACCAACGGCGCTCATGACAATTTCCCCTTATTGGGAGTCTTTCTGCAGAGACTGCGAAAGATATCGCGCGGGCTGGCGGGCGGCCCGCTTGCTGCACGGGTCTGTTGGTTCTTGTCGCGTGTCACTTGTCAGTTGTCGGGCAGCAAACATCAGATGCAGTGTTTCGATCTCGGGAGGGTGGGGGCCGGCAGTCGACGGTAGTGTGCGTCTGCGGCGTCGACTGGAGACGGCGCCTGTCAGGTTACCTATTACCTAACCCTCGCGATGCAAGCTTCGTGGGGTCCTTTTCGTGAGATTGTTGACACGGAAACCAGCCAACACTCAGAATTCTCCAGCAATGAAAACGGCTTTCACTATATACACGTGTTCGGTTCGATTTGGACTCGCAACAGTGGTTCTGTACGCATTGGGTATGTGATCGAGTCGTTCAAGTCTCTGAACGGCAACTCGGCGGGGCCGTTGACATGCTTGCTCGGAAGCCAGGCGGATCTCCAGAGCCCTACCAGCCCAGCGATGGACTCCTCCCACACGATTCAGGAGACGTTACATGAATCCGCTCTGGATCGTGTTTGAATCGTCAACAATGGTGGTTCGACTATTGCAACTACGTCGCTTCAACGGCAGAGCATAATACTGTTAATATTATAGAGGTTCGATTCAGACATTGTGGTCCGGGTTATGAAGACAAGGAAACTGAGTTGACAAAAGAAACACTGAGAGAAAAGTCTCTAGCACGACCCCCAATCAATCTTACTCCCTCTCACCACCCTCGACCGCAAAGTCCAACGAGTCAACATCCAACTCCTCCTTCCTCCTGCGAAACATAATCACAGTCTTCGGGTTGATCTGCCTCGCGACCCCCACCACGAACGGGTCCGCGGTGTTGCCGGGCGCCAGCTTCCAGTCGTACTTGAGCAGCAGATGGCACAGCGCCACCTTGACCTCGTTCGACGCGAAGAACCGCCCCGGGCACGCGTGCTGCCCGTGGCCGAACGCCAGGTGCTCGGGGCTCGTCGTCACCAACTGCGCCTTGTGCATCTTGCCGGGCTCCTCGCGCATGCGCCGGAATCGATAGATGTCGTACATGTCCACGTCCTCGCCGTGGATCTTGGGGTCTTTCATTGCGGACGCGTCGACGACGACCCGCTCGCCGCGCCGGATCGTGATGCCTTCGTCGAGGGTGATGTCCTTGGTTGCGAGGCGGCGCATTTGGACTAGAGATAATCGTCAGTCGGGACACTGCGTTCTCGTCTCCGGGAGCACGAGAGCTTACACATTGAGTTCGGCTTCATCCGCTGCGTCTCCTTCAGCGCGCTATCCATCAGCTTCATGTTATACAGCGCCGTCTTCCTCCACCCCTCCGCTTTCAACACCTGCACAACCTCCTCGCGCAGCGGCGCAATCAGCTCCGGCTGGTTCGCAAGGAACAGCATCGTCTGCGCCAATAGATCAGTCGTCGTGTGTATAGCGGCGAAGCTCAATGTAAGCTGGAACACAGCCGCGTCGTACGCCTGCCCCTTGCACTCCATCTCCGCCCACTCGATCGCGTCGTTGTAGCTCGGCGCCTCCTCCCCCTTGGCCGCGGCCTCGCGCTTGGCGGCGTGCCGCTGCTCGATCACGCCGCTGATGAGCGCGCGCGCTTGTGCCAGGTGCTGCCGCACGAGGCGGCAGTCCGGGAGGAACCAGTGCACCAGGGGCCGCAGGGGCCGGGGCACGAAGGTGAGCTTCATCGCGGCCATGAAGGAGATGACGGTGTAGTCCTTGGTGACGCGCAGCCAGGCCCCGTTGCGGCAGAGCTCGTCGCCGAGGAAGACGCGCGAGGAGAGGCGCGCGACGAGGTCGAGGATCGCGTCTTTGGCGGGGACTGAGCGCCATTCTTTCGGGGGATGTTAGTTTGAGAGCGTCGGAAGGGAATGGAGACTCTTGCGGTGAAGGCATACCGGGGGACTCGCCAAAGATTTGGCTTGCCGCAAAGGCTGTTTCGAGTGATAGTGGTTCGGTAACTGTGTCTGAAAGTCCGTCTAGTCAGCTTGAGTGCATGTCCGACAGTTAAAGTCCACTTACTGAGGTGCTTCGTAAGCTGCTTCCTCGCCACATTCTGCAAGATCTGAGAGTCGTGGTCAACGAAGCCAAAGGGCTCGAAACCCGCAATTCCATAATGAAAGTCCTACGCAACATGCGTGAGTCTACCAAAATGTTTCACAATCAACCAACAACGCATCTTGAAATAGCTGTATGATGCACAACGACCCGAAAAGTACGTACCGCCTTAATGAACGCCCCAAAGTTCAAGTCATCCTCATTCCTGATACTATGAGCAAACCGCGGAGGCAACACCGTCAAATCGCCCTTCTCCGACAACACCCTAAACGGCTTGTCCGCAACCGCGGACTTCGCCTTGACAAGGACGCTCATCCCCGTTTTCAAGAAGTCCATTCTTGCCAGCGGCCGGGGGCGGAGCCATGTCGGCGGATCGACGAAGGGAATGTTATTGTCCCTTTTCGCAAGTTTGATAGCGACGGATGTAAGGAGGATCACTAGGAAAGCGGTGATGATGTAGCCGTGCGGTTGCAGCTCGAGGCCCAGCGGGAGGGCGGTGTCTGCCCACGAGGACGGATGGGCTACGGGCGATGAGGATGCCATCTTTCGTGCTTGATGGAGGTGTTGATATGAGTAAGTGATGCTGGGATTGATGAAGGTGGAAAGGCTGTTGAATGGATTATGTGAGGGATGAGTAAGAAGACCTTGGCTGTTTGAGAGGGGTTTCCTGCTTTTTAAGGATGCTGAAGTCGACTTCAGTTCTCGCTGGCGTGCACAACCGTGATGGGCCTCATTCTCACGGAAGCCTTTCACTCCGAGATATGCTGACAATGCTGCATTAACAGACGGATTTCGGGCAGTAGAACTAGCAACGCTTTCTGTGGGTAGCATCATCGACAGTAAGACCCCGTTTGTGATGCGCCACTCGCGAGCAGCTGCATCACAGTGCAGCGGCATCCCCACCACTGCAAGACCAAGTTCGGATGACAGGCATTGACATGAACAATATCTTTGAAATGATTGGCTACGCCTCTCAGAGTCTACCAAATCAGGCATGTGGACGTTCAACGGCCTTGATGGAACGTGCGTGCTCCCGAGCCATGGAAGCCCTCAGATGTCATGGTTGAGGGCGAAGGATGAACGGAGTGCGGCCCCAAACCAACTGCCGGCGGGAGATCACCTACGATGCTGCGTCATCCGTCAAATCGATTGGATGCTTTGACTGCAAAGTATCACCGCGTTTCACGAAAAAAGCAAATCCGATGGATTTCGGCCTTTCAACCGCGTCGGGTTTTCGCTTCTCATGCGTCGGATTTTCGTCGTCAAGATATCGGGCTTTCAACCGTCACACATCGGGCTTTCAACTCCCATCCCTCGGATTTTCAACCACCCCCCAACATCGGGATTCCGAAGTTCATTTGAGCACCGGTGTGGAGAGCATGCACAAACGCGCCAAGCCAAGGCAGATCTGAGGCGCTGCGGTTGCCCCTAACCTATCTGCGGGCTGCGGATCTCGTTATCGTATAAGATTTACGAGCCTGGATTTGCACAAGATCGAGTCAGGCGCAGAACTGTAAAAACCCCCCAATCCCTCCCGCATATATTTACCCAGCGTTGATGAGCTTGTGGCTATGAAACTCAGCCTAGTGGAGAAACCTCCGGCTTCGCGGTGAACAATGTCTCAACACACTTCTTGGTACGCGCTGCTGTCGTTTCTATTGGTTAAGTAGCAGGTACTTCCGTCAACGGGACGGCAATTAAGACCGTCCCGGGGTGCGGCAAGGAGCCGTCGGAAAGTTTGTCTTAACGTCGCGCACCGGGGGAGGAGGGGATAAGTAATGGACGCGGTCATCAGTACCTACGAGTCTACATTCTACTTGCTATCAAAATCAGCACCGCGACAACAACTTTCTTTTCGTTGACAATCTATAATCACGGCAGGGAATTTATCTGGAATTGAAGAGAACTGCGTTTGGCAAGAGAGAAATTCGGATTCCTCCGCGGAAAGGGCGGGCTATTGACTTCCGGAATGGCGAAGTGCACAGAACACCCGCTTAACGTGCCCAGTAAGCTACCCACAGAGGATGATGTCTTCACAGAAGGAGCATATCTAACGCGTCGCCCTCAAAGTCGTCGAGCAGAAGCTCACGAGCGGCATCCGCGTCCACGGCCTCCTCCTCTCCCTCTCAACTTCCGCAACCATTGTAGCATGCTGCCTCACAGCCTGGCATGTCTTCCAACACGCCAGACACTACACGAAACGAAGCGAACAGAAACAGTAAGATCCCCAGGCAGTTGCGTCAAAACTCGCAGCTGACACCAATCGCCCTCCCAGAATCATCCGCATCCTGTTGATGGTCCCAATCTACACCATCGCCTGCATCCTCAGCATCGAGTTCTACAAGCAGCACGTCTACCTCGCCAGCATCTACGAATTCTACGAGTCTCTTGTCATCGCGGCCTTCTTCCTGCTGCTGTGCCAGCTCCTACACCCGGATCCCACCACGCTCCGAAGGGCGTTCTCCCTGGTCGAGCCGAAGCCGTGGATCCATCCGATATGTTTCCTGGTGGTACATATTGGGCGCCGAAAAGATCGGAGCGTGGACGGGTTGAAACGGTTCAACGACGTTTCCAGATGTTCTCTATGGTGGGAGGCACAGCTGACTTAACAAGACCATCTGGTTCTGCGTCTTCCAATTCTGTATAGTCAAGTTCCTCGGCGCTCTTGTCAAGTGCATGACTGAGGCCGCGGACGTGTACTGTGAGGAGTCGAGCAGTGCCAGTCATGCTAAAATTTGGGTACGTTGACGTCCTCCGCGGAAACACAATGTGACTAAAATGCTAACTGTTAAGCAAAGGTTATGGTCATTGAAATTTTGTCACTGGTGACTGCCATGATGTGTGTCCTGCAATTCTACCAGCAGACCAAAAAGGAGCTTGAGACCCACCAACCTCTGTTGAAATTCCTCGCCATCAAGTTAGTGGTGTTTCTCTTCTACGTCCAGACCGTGAGTCAAACACCTTCAAACAGCTCCGCGCTACATCCGCCCAATGATCGTCGCTGACCGCCCTGATTGTTCATCTTCAGCTTCCTAATGCAAGAAGACGGCCCAATCAAACCCACCCCGACAATATCCTATCCCTCATGGGCCGTCGGGATCCCCAACACAATCCTCTGTTTCGTAATGGCAGCCGTCTCCATCCTGCACATCTTCGCATACCCCTACGAACCATACCGTGCTCGAATCGACACGAAAGACGACTCCCGCAGCAACGACAGCGCGGTACGCGAAAACGACCAGCACCCCCTCCACCAAGTCCTGGTGACGCGCAGCCACGACGGCTGGTCCCGCCAGCACGATGAGTCCGTATGGGACGGGACGCAGAGTTCACCAGACACACGCGCCCCCGCTGCCGGATTCAAGAGGAAGGCGCTGGTGGACGCGCTCAACTTTGTCGAAGTGGTGTTTGCCGTGGTGACTGCGTCGCGGTGGCTGGTGGCGGAGCGACGGAAGGATGCGGCGCGGGCTGCGGCGGCGTTGGAGGACGGGCGTGACTACCCGTACGGCGCTGGGGATGTCAGGAGACAGAAGACGGGAGATCTCTCGCAGGCGTTGGATAGAGCTCAGGCGCAAACGTCCTCTACGCGGTTGGGATGACAACGTTCTCATGAATCGACAAGAGCAAGTCAGAGAACCTAAAACCAGGACTTTTCACAACAAGCGAACAGTCGCCAACTGAACCGAAAGAAGAAACGCTTTTTATTTTGAACCATGTGCCTAGAATCGAACTTTTCTCCTCCCGCCGAGGTGCCCTTCATGAAGCAGCCCACGCCGCGACCTTTTTGAAAATGAGCTCGCCGTCCTCCTTGCTGTCGTTCATCTGCGCAAAGTAGCGCTGCAGGTCCTCCTCCGTCGGCAGCGTCTGCCGGTAATACGCCACGTCGTGGTCGAACAGCTGCCGCGCGAGCTCGCCCTGGATCTCCGGGTGGCCCTGCATGGAGAGCACGAGCCCCGAGTCCGCGAAGAGGATCTCGTTGTCGGGGGCCAGTGGCCTGAAGCCCGCGGGGACGTCTTTGACGAAGCGCTTGTGGAACTTTGTGATTTTCTGGAGGGGTGGGGGTGGGGGTTAGCGCGTTCGTGCGTGGAGGGTGCTTGGGGTTGGTGGTGACTTACGATGGAGTTTTTGCCGAAGAGGGCTTGTCCGTCTTGGTTGAGAGGGAGTTCTTCCACGCCGACCTGTCAGAGACACATTGTTAGTCCCGGGTCCAAAAGTTTTACGTTTTGAACATGGAGAATGGCGTGAACGTACCCTGGGGAACTCGAAGCTGCCAATAGACCCAGACAACGCGGTAGCAATAGCCTGATGCCCCCAACACACCCCCATGAGCTTCGTCCTGGTGATGGGCTGCGTCGAGACGACCCCGCGGATCCACTCGAGCACGGCGTTGACCCAGGGCTCGTAGCACGAGGGGGCCTGGCACAGGTTGCTCAGGCCGCCGGTGATGATGATGAGGTCGTAGTTGGCGGGCTCGGGGAGGTCTCGGATGTCTGCCATGGGCTGGTAGGCGTCGACGAGGGCGTCCGGGACGTGGCGGCGGATGTTGTCGCGGAAGGACTGGACCATGCCCCTGTGCTTGGGCTCCTCCAGGTCGTACGCCTTGACGATGGCGACGCGCAGGGGAGTTGGCATGGAACCCATTGTGAAGATGGCTGGTGGAAGGGGGGTGATCTTTGGTGAAGGGTTGTTGTTGTGTAAGTGGTTTGTAACAGCAGCTTTAACAGGAGATTCCAAGACTTGACGAGAGGTTGAAACAAGGAAGAGAGATGAGCAGAGCCACGGTGACTGAACGATGGTGGTGTGCAGACGCCGTCTCTTATGCCACACGGACGAGGTGGGTCTCACGGTGGCAGATAACCTGAGAGCTGTCTCCGCAACGGCCTCCGGCTAACATCGGGGCGTCCACATTATCTCCGGCAATCGGTCACTTGGGTTGAGGCTAGTCATGAGGCCCCCGGGGAGCACCGTCCCCCTTGGAAATATTACTAATGAAATCGCAGCGTTGCGAGAGTTGCTGGCAGCCCGAAGCCCCGTCCACCGCTCCGGGCGATTTCGGAGTGCGAGGGGGAGAGGCAGGTTGAGGGGAAAATGGATCGCGGCAGCCAGGAAGACAGCCAACCTCCTGCTGCAACTTTCAAACACGGATGTTTCCACGTGAATCCATGGTCATGCTGACCGTCTCTCATCCCCTCTTGCGGACGTGGATCTTGACTGCTCGCCCCCGGGGTTGGGCACCTCACCTGGTGCATCCGTCAATCACGCCCTGTATAAAACTCACGCCTCCCCCCTGCTCTATCTGCCCCCCCAAAAAGCATCATCAGCCGCCGGGAGCCAAACAAAATGTCAGCAAACGCGGTTATCTTATCTCTCGATATCAGATTCCGCCAGTGGTGGACCTGGGCAGCCGTTTCCCCAGACTTTCTTATACGTACCTTTAACACGGGCGCGGCTGGACCGCGAATCACAGTCCGCACTCCGATAAGGGCCGCCCGATGGCCCGTCCGAACCTCAGTATTGGGCGCACGACCCGCCGGAAATGGCGGCGGCCGCGTGAGCGTGTAGGGTCTTATTTCCTGATCCGGAAGGGTTTGCCTGCGCGCCGCCCCGCTCCGAGCGCACTGAAGAGACCGGGGGCGGGAGGGCGTCTGCCCACGTGTGAGTGCAGTAACCGGCCGATGTTGCCATTGCAAGTTGCGATCGCGAGAGATAAAATCAAATAGAAATTGCAGCTCACCCCTCCCCTTCGCACTCGCAATTTCGAGGTGGCTTGCATCCGAGGGGACACAGGACTCCATCTGAGGTGCTTTCTCCGACTCAGGAGCACCAGGGCGCTCGGATGGCCCCCTTTCGCCCACACAGTGCTGGCAGAACACTGAAGCCCCCCCCCGGACAACGCTTGGAGGCTTATTCTTGTTACCCCCATTTTACCTAAGGGATTCCAGCGCACACAGCGAAAAAGCCGCCGACAGAGGCCACATGATGCTTCAAACCCGTCCACGACATCAGGACATGAGTTGCGTCCGCCATGAGAAAATTTTTTCTTCTCTGCTCCTCCTCTTCCTCACCGTCCTGCCGCATCATCCCTTTAATTTATGACTCTTCCATGAGTTTCCGAATGATCCCCCAGCTCCATACGCAGCACTGCCCCTCAGCCAACTGGACGAAGCATACGAATCTATGTGCTGCCTCGGTGTTCTCTCCATGAGCTAGCCGTGAATAAAGTCGTCGTCAGTTGAGAAACACTGACAACCTTTCGACGACCGGGGCCCCATCTGCGCACCCATGCACATGCTACACTGCTGCAGAACCTGAAAGCTTCTTCCAAGCTTTTTTTCTTCGGCAAGCCGTCTCAACGCAACAGCCTCTCTGCTGACCCCAACCACGTTGCATGGGTCCTATTCGAAGCCCCCCCCCCACATCCCCCGCAACCTCTCGCAGAGCCGCTCGTCATTGGATTTCCCGCAACGCGCAACTGCGGTGTGTTCAATTGGGCGAGCTGGGGGACAGAGTTGACCAGCCAATCACGTCATCGCTTCCGTGGCTCAGTTGGAAGAGCGTTGGTCTCATAGAAACTGTCTATAACTCTGCCCCAGGTGGAGACATCCAAAGGTCGCAAGTTCGAGCCTTGCCGGGAGCACTGCGATCCCTTTTTGATGTGCATCTTCGTCTGTTTACTTTCGAGGACGAAGCCAAGTCGTACTGAAGAGCCCAATAGGACCAGTCAAGGCAATCGACTTGGATTGATGAGACTTTCGTGATTGGCTCTTCCAGTGAAATTGAAACTGCGGCTCTAACGACGGATGCTCCCGAGTCTTTGCGAAAGATTCATTAACAATAATCGCGACATCAATCTCACATACGCAGACTGAGAATAAAACCCAATTGCTTAGTGAACAGTCAGGGGTCCTTTTGCGATTGAGTTGCACGTAGACTTTGAGGCTTCAAGACTTCATTTGCTCAGCAGGTCCGATCTTGCTTCTTCCACCACGATTAACAGATGGTAGTGGCAGGCTTGAACACGCTACTGACCGTGGGACAGAAATCTCTCTATGCCGCAGATTCGATGTGGACTACCGCTTTTCAACATCGCTCGCTTCTGTGCTCAACAGCTCGGAAGTTGGGCCAGGACGCCAATCACCATGAAACTCTTTCTCGACTGAGCATTCAATGACTACAAAAAGATCACAACCCAAAATGTTCGTCCTCATACCCACAACAGTCCCAGCAATAGCATCATTCGTTGGCACTCTGCTTGATGTATTGATGTTGGGTTGAGACCAAGTGATCCACGCCTGGCGCGGGTGTCAACAAATGTTGTGATTACCGCTCTATACGTCCCTGGACCATTGATAAATCAAAAATCATAACGTTCTTGTAGATCTAGAAACGTAATTGAGGATGATCGCAACGAGAAAGAACTTGTCTGTTGTCCCTAGTCTAAAACCAGTATCTCAGAGACCTTTCAATAAGTGGAAGAAGAGCTTGACAGTTTCAGATGAATATTCTTCATCATAAGACTCCACTGAAACAACGGCTCAACCTTTTAGGCAACCTCGCGAGTGCCTTCCCCTTAAGCCATAGGTGCGCATTCAATATCATTCGTCGAATTTCCTAGTACCTCAACAAGCTATCATCTTTAGAAGAGCCTATCGTGTTTAGGGAGGCCGAGGGTGGTAAAAGTCGACTCCAGCCATTGGAATTGTTTCCCGCTCATATGATCTAGGCTGGTCCGCCTCCTTCAGCACATGAAACCAAACGTGCCGCTCACATGTCAATATGCAATTAAAAACTAGCAGAGTTTAGCCTTTAATAGATTCCTTCAAGAGTTTATAGACATATAGGGTCAAGTTTAATTCAGTAATACATACATCTGAGTTAGAATTCGACTCTCTACCACGCATGTGCTCAAACTCAAAATAAGCGTTAAAATAACTAGCGCATAAATGTCACCCCTGGGAGTAGATTGCCCGCTCTCATGGGGAACAGATTGATAAGGATGCTGATGAAACCGTGAGGGCACCTGTCACTTGGCTGAGCATGAGCGAGAGCATACTCTTCACTTGATTTAAACTGCATTCCACGATATTCAAGCATGTCTTATGAACAAGGTTGATGAGACTTTCGCGTTTCGAATATCACCGCAGGCTTTGACCGGTTTTTTTTTTTTTTTTTTTTTTTTTTTTTTTTTTTGATCCTTTACTTTCAGACAAAGTTCAAAAGATTGAGTTCGTGCGGAGGTTCGTATGAGTGTCAACGCTGCGCGTAGAAGTGTCGCAAAAACTATAGTGTCAAGCCGCGTGGCGGGTCTTCATTAAGCTCGTATCGAAACCCCTTCAAGAGACTTATATCGAGAGACGTGCGAGTTGGTCGTTGAAAATATGGAAGCACCCTGAGAGATCGAGTTCCAATTCAACCCGAAGCACTCGGTACTTCTTCTGATAAATTGCGTAGTTGACCCTTCACAAGCTGACTTTCGACTTCAGCATCGCCATTGAAAACGACTTGTTGCAAAGAACCCCTGGAACTTTCCAAACCAGGGACGGATTTCCAGATGACCGACAGGAAAACTAACGAACAATGAATATGATTGAACTTTCAATGGCTGGACTGCATGCCGTGGAGGAAAAGACTGAGCTAGACTGTCTGAAGCAGCTGGCTCCTTTCGGCGCGATCTCGGGCTCTGAGACGTCTCGCACAGATTTTTGCATTGCCGAAGGCTAGTCATGTCTTCGAAGACTCTCAAGACCGCAAGCCGAGTCTGCTACAGGAATCCTGTCTGCATCCTGACCTATTTGGCGCTGTTCTATCACCTTGTTAAACTGACGGAGTTGATACGATAGTCATATACACGCCGGAAGACAGCTTGATCAGCGGTCACGCGTCTTTGACTATAGATGAGTAGCCGGAGGTTGCCCACACCCAGCACTGGTGCCTCAAGCTGAAAGTTTACACCATCCGCAAGACGACCTGGACACAAAACTACACGCTGCGCAACGCGATAATTGGAACCCGGTCAGGACGAGAACCCCCCCTAAAAAGCTTTGACCCTTGATGCAGTCGCATCGGACAAGCTTTACATGGGAAAAGTCCAAACGGCCAAATCTGCCGGGGCAGTCGGGGGATTCCTGGAACAGATAGCCTCAATATAATGACCGTGAATTTCTTGTGTATGTACTGGAGCAGAGATTGTGACATCAAATGTTGTTCTTTAACTGTTGTCTTTGACTTTACCTGAGTGCGGGTGGATCAAGTACCTTGCCGGATTTTCCGTTCGTTTGAATGCTCAAATCACTTGCATGTTTGTCTAGAACTCAATGAATTGAATGGCTATGCTTCTTATATCGAGAGATCTTCCACAACAGGTAGATCCTAGATCCAGAAAAAGATCATTGTCTTTTGAGCATACAATATACCGCATACAGATAGCTGGCCTGTTGAGAAAAGCACCCGACAACCTAGGTGGGGTCAGGTGCTCTTTGGTCTGGGCGCGAACAGGAGTAATTAGTAGAGAACTCTAGCCCCGTGATCCTAGATGTGATAAGTGACCTTCACATCGTGTATCATAGCGTTCAATAGGCAGATATACTAATGTTATGAGATGTTTTGATGCTACTTTACTTAAAGTCTACCAAGAAACTGTTACAAAAGCTTGACATCTCCATGCTCAAACTCTCTCCTTTCACGTACAAATTCCACTTATACACATATACTTCCACCTTTTTGCCCCTTGATCAATTGACGTCAAATCACTTGTACAGTATCTAGAAGTAATCGTTATAATCGAAGGGCAAGTCGGATTGGTAACTGTTGTCGCATAAAAGGTCAATCCAGCTACCCGAATCCGGCCGGAAAGACTCAAATTTGTGACCCCACCAACCCTCCTTCCAATCATCCATTTTCCAGTATCTGCGCTCTCTGACCAATGCCTCTGGGTCTACCATCTTTCCGACATCGAAGTTGCATTTGACGATGGAGTTGCCAGATGTAATGTCGCGTATTGCTTGCGGAAAGTCCTCAAACAAGTACCACATATTATCTTTGCCGGCGTACTCCCCGAGCGCCGTTGACCGCCAGTTGTGTCTTGGATCGCTCCGCCTCTCACTCCAAGACAGTGCCGGGAGAATCTTGCGCTCCAAACAGAGATCAACGGCCGCCTGACATGCGGCATCCCGTTGAACGACGTCCTGAAAAATTCGCGGACAAACCGAGTCTCCGTCTAAAACCAAAGAAAATGAGCCGGCCGGCATGCCGGCGCGTTCGAGCTCTAGCGCTTCAAGGACCCATACCGCCACACAATCCGAAATTGATGCCGCATAGAGACATTCATTTCCTTGTCGTTTCTCTGGCACGGTATGCGGAGGCGGCCTATTTCCAGTCATAGATTGAAGAACAGTCCGCCACATACTGGCTCGGCGCTCCACACGAAGGCGCGGGTTTTCCTGACAGTATGGGATGAGACCCAAACCATGGCTTTCAGCACGACCAACGGCGTATCGGTCTTCATCCAGGATGATAGTCCGTATGCTCATGCGACAAACCAAGGGCAGGGATGCCAGGAAACGTATGGCAACAGCCGCGGCGGAGTAATGGTACTTGATCTGACTCTTGTCAGGCGGGCCGCTATGAATCAGGTCCCATTCCTGAGAAAAGTATTCTTCAAAGGGGTTTCCCAAACTTTGTATCAAATCATTGACTCTTTGAGGAGGGGACGGAATCTCCCAAGGGTCGGGATTGACGTTGACAAGACTTGCGATTTGGTTTTCCATGAAGCGGTATTCACTCCAGCCTATTTCGAAGAGAGTGAACTGTTCCTCCCCAAAGTGATGCCTATGCTCTAGAAGCGTCTGCAGGACAGAACGGACCCACTCGCGTGAAATCGATGGTGTTTCGCCGCAGGACCCTGGAGGCCCTATTGTTGGCATAGCTTTTGGGGCACGTTCTCGACGACCGTCCTCCGTAATTTGCCAACCGTTGGATCGACGCTTGAGCAAACCCAGATACGGTGTAAATTTCGGATCAATTTCCGACAGTTCTTTCCAGATATCTTCGGTGATGCTGAGGACATCCGGGAAGATTTCGTCTATCTTGCAATCTCGACGACAGTGTAGGAGATTCAGGAATGTATCAAAGCGTCCGGCTGTGATTCGATGCTCCTCAGAACAGACAGACGAAAAATTGAGAATATTGGTTGACAGAGCTATGCCCCTAGCTTCCCTTGCCACACGTTTGCAGGTGAGCATAAACGTCAGATCAATCGAATCCCCATTAGCGCACTTGAGCCTGTTACTATCAAAGTCTAAGATGTAGCCGCCATCGGAGTAGACGCATTGCGCGTAAATCAAGTCCCGTACTTCGCGGAGAAGATCGAAAAATTGAATCATGATAATGAGCGTCTATTGGATGAATGTTGTCAATGGGAGTCGGAGTGTACGTGGTGTATGGATTGGAGCAAAACCAGACAAGGGTGAATGGACCACGGAGAAGGCGGCCTAGGTAAGCTTCTAAAGACAGGAGATGGGGCGGATAAAGCTATCTCCGAAGAACCCGGAGGCCCCTCAAATAGCCTGTGAGTCACAACCCAAAGTCTGCGACTGACGAAGGTTGCACGCATAAAGGCAGCCACAGCGTCACTAAAAATATGATGGGAATCGTTTTGGGGACCAAACAATCCCTTCATATTGAGAGAGTTTCGATGGCACACCCTGTAAGGAGTTACAAATGAGATGAATTCAATTAGAGCACTTTGGCCGGTGCCTTGTCCAGTAAGAAGATCGCAGTATACGTACCTAGAGGCTCGAAATAACTGTTCGCGCCGAACCAGACTGTAGCCGCTCTAGAGGAAGAACTTAGCTCCAGTTGTCACAAATCCCAGGAGGGGGCCTGACCGCAAGCGAATACATCCGGGCTGGACTTGTATACCATTATGGCTCTCGGTCTCGTTTTGACTGATAGAGATTAGTCCACGCACATAGTTTAAGGTATGTGTAATATACCGAAGGCTTCGTTGCCAACAAGGTCGACGGCATCGTCCGCGTGACTCACTGCGCTGACGAACATCAATCACTTCCCATGAGCAGACCCAAAAGAAAGAAAAAAGCGAGAGGAGAGAGAGGAAAAAGAGAAAAAATAGAAAACGGAGAGGGAAAAAGAAGAAAAAAAGAGAGAGAGAAAAAAAAAAGATGTTCCCAGTGACACATACTAGAGATGGCTTCGCAAGGTCTCCAGCCACGGAAAAGCTTATCTTGGACACGTACTTAACGCCGCTGCCTGGAGAACATCGACGCCCTTCAACATACAAAGCCCTGAGGATAGTATGACTACCATTCGAGAGTCAGGGAATTACAAAGACCTAAGACCATATCTCATACTTGTAGCAATGTTCTGCGTCGCAGCAATGAAGGCCAACGTGTGGGCCGCGACCCACGCCCATCTGCGTCGCCAAATCTCACCGGAAGAGGTGGCTGCTTTTACCGCTAAGCCTGGCCATTGCTCTTGAAGTACTCTGACGACGTCTGTCGTAGGGCGGTGTAGCCAGTCAGTTGGCCAGTTCCAACTTCTGCAGTGTCAGTCAGCCAAAGACCATCTTCTCACTGCGAACTGTGGCTCACTGACATTTTGGGAGTTGCTGACGACCGTAGAACTGCTTCGAAACCAATTAGTTTCGGGTCACTCTCTCAGGAGTTGGACGAACAGTTCATACCGAAGACTTAAGCCTAGTCGCTAGAAGGCTTGGACTGCTTCCGTCGGCCAGTGGAGTCCGAACACATCAACATCGAAGGAGTTGCTCACTAGCGACGGAACACTACCAGAACTAGCCATACGCAGAAGATGAAAGATCTCCTTGGTTCTCCATGACGGCGAAGAGCTCTCGCCATCCTCCTCCTCCTCCTGCAAGTCGTCAAATAATGGGCTCAGCACGTGTTTCGTGGTCCATTGGAACTGTGGAATACCAAAGTAAGGGATAGCCAAGTCTGAAGCAAGCATGACGGGATTTCCGACCGTTCACTCGAACAAAGCCTCCCGGAGGTGCTTGTGGGCATCCTCCAACAGTTTGCCGTGGAGGAACAAGTGCTTCGCATTGTGCGCACCTTTGCCACGTGGGCACATGTGAGACGGGGCCAACTAAGATTCAGAAGTTATCAAGAGGAAGCCGGTGGGTTGAGGAACAGGCATAGAAAGAAGAACAACTTACCCCCATGAAGTGTAGTGTTGCGTTCAACCCATTGAAGCCCGTCCGTATGTGGAGCAAGATTGTGCTCTGAGCCTTGGGCATGTCCACCCAGATCTTGAGATTGTGCTGCCCCCAAATTCCTTGAATGGCCGGGCAGTTTTCGTTGAAGGCAGCAGCTTGGCTCAGGTAACGGATGACGAACTTTTGCCAGAGGTCCTGCGACTTGAAATGTGACATCTTCTTCACGACGTCCCTGATGAGCTGTTTCCGCCTCAGCCGTCGCAGGGCAGGATTCTTGGCGAGCTTCGGGTCCGCTCTGATCCGCAGCTGGAGCTCGTCATCCGCCACCATCCAGACCAGAGCCTTGGCCTCGCGGTAGGCGACACTCAGCGGATGCGCTTCCATAACCTCAGCCGTGAGGCCACGGCGGTTGGCCACAAACAAGCCAGGTCCGCAACAGCGCTTGGCCCTCGGGCGTGTCAACGTTCGTCGCCCGGTGCTTCATCGCACATCCAGCGAGAAACACGCAGAGCTTCTCGACGAAGAACTCCTTGCAAAGGATGTCGCCCGATACGCGTTGGTACGCACCAAAAAATTGCTTCAGACACTGGGTTTGCTCAGTCTCCGGCTTGTTGACTAGGGCCTGGCATAGTGACCACTTGCACCTAGTTCCTTTGGTCCTGCGGCACCACGTACCAGAGGGCGCAGGCGTAGGCAAAAATAGGCCTCACGCTGGTGATGTATTGGTGTCGAAGCTTCAAGACATCCGGACCCCAGGTTGATCCACAGACGCGCCACATCTGATACATCATTTGCCTGACCTTGGCAAGGGTCTGTAAACAGTGAGTTAGTGATAGAACAGGAATCTGGTTCGAAAGGGCGAACTTACATGTGCGATGTGGACGTTCCACTTAAGCTGATAATCCAGATGCAAACCGAGTACTTTTATTGCATCGTCCTTAGCCTCTGTAGGAAACCCCGAAACATTCGGCATGACGTTGACGATGGGCGGGGCTTTGCGCGACTGGCACAAGTGAATGACCTGCGTCTTGTCGGCACTAAATCCGGTGCCATGCAGCGACGTAAATCTCGTCAATCGACGGTACACCTGTGCCAGTGCCTCGCAATTCAACTCATAGGAAGAGGAAGCAAGCAGAATGGTGATGTCATCGACGTAGCCTGTGATGACCAGGTCGAAAAGTTGGAAGATGGTCATATCGGCCCTGCTCTCTAAAATCCGGCTCTCCCTCAATCTCCTGAGAATGGGTATCGTGAAGAACGCGAAGAGGATTGGAGAGAGAGGGCTACCCTAGGGAACACCGATCTTGATCCAAAACTTCTTCGAAAGCTTGCCATGTAGGCGAACAGTGGTGCTGCGTCGAGAAAGGAACTCCCAGATAAACTGGATCATCCAAATCGGAACTCCGTACTCAACAAGGAGACACAGCAAGTGGCAGTGAACAACACGATTAAAAGCGCCAGTCATGTCGAGGGCAGCGACTGTAAAACAGATACTCTTGACAGACCAGTTTCTGTATATGGCGTTGATGATGAACTCAAGGGCCTGTGTAGTGGCCTTTCGTCGGAAACCAAATTGCTCGAACGGCACGAGTCCGGATGCGTCCAGCTAATCCGTCAGTCATTTCGTAAATCGAGATACCGCACTTGCCCTTGGCCTTGTGAACAGGCATTCTCGTATAACGCCGCCAACTCTCCAGGCTTCGACCTCTTTTCCGCCGAATTGTCTGCACAGGGATCATCAGGGGATGTGGCGAAACACAGGGGAGCATAGCCAGCGAACGCATGGTCCGTGCAGATCTCAGGGCCGCGAACCTTCGTCGAAAGTATCGCGCACAGTACGAAGACTGCGGGGTGACGAGGCGCATCCGACCCACCGTCTCCTCCGCACTGTCAAGATTCCTCAGCAGCGCTCCATCCACAAAACGAACCCGCAGGATTTCGTCGCTCGACACAGCTGCGTAACATACCAACCATCTCGCTCGCGGCGACAGCCCCCGTCACAACGGAGAAGATCCGACTGTTCCGCCTGGCGCGAGGATGACGGGGAAACTTCGGCCAAGTCCACCTTACCTGGTTGCACACCCTGCCCAGACCTCCAAAATGCGACCCATGCCTGCAAACCTCCACTAGCCACGTGGGACCGTAGGGTAGCGGCCCACTACCCGCGCTTTACCAGCGAGCCCCAGGCGCGCCGGAGGTCGCCAGGTACGGACGGATACGCAATTGTACTATCGCCAAAGTACCTGCAACAAGCACGATCCTTCGCGTGATCGAGCACGCCATATTCAGCCCCAAAATCAACGATGAGGTCGCGCACCCGTCAGCTCTCCGAGGAGGGCACCATCCCACTACACAGAGACTGATCCAGACAAGTGAGCCGAAGACAGCCCAGATATCTCCCGGAGTTTAACCGACTTGCTCAACGCCAGAAAAAAAGGCCACATCCCAGTCCGCTTTCAAGCGCTGAACGGCTCAACCACGGCAAGATAATACGCATGAAGAAGCTGGTCAACCGATGAGAAGCAAGAGCTTGCCCGAAGTTTAACCGAGTTGCCCCACAGAAAAAAAAAAAAGCAGCATCTCAGTCGGCCAAGGTCGACGAGCTCGTCTCGCCAACTGGCATGCTCCTTCACAACGCTCAGAGGCAGAGTCACCATGAGACAGAGCTGGATCAGTAAACCGGAAAGAAGCCAGAGGTTCCCCGAGGTTTAACCGAGTTGCCCGCCTGAAAAAAATCCGACATCTCAGTCGGCTAAGGTCGGCGGCGGTGGCTGGGATCCTGAGGATAGATGTTGGAGTAGACTATGTTTTCTGACAACAGATGCGCACCTCCGACTCTAAAACACCGCCACCATTGCAGATTGCTGTTGCCACGCTTTCTGCCCTTCCAAACCGCTTCTTTGGTTTCCTGCATTGTGCCTTGCTGTCACCGGCCCCAACCGGATGGGCTGCGCAGCACTGACCTACACTGCCGAGCGGTGTCTCTTGCAAGAAGAACCGAGAGACCTCGGCCCACTCAAGTGTCCTTGTGTGACTGCTCCGCATCTGCATTCAGGGTTCCAGGGCGATTCGGCCAGCCAACCCGAGTACAAGTCAACTCCTAAACTCCACGCCTGGGACGCCGCCTCATCCCGTACAACAAACTATGCAGCCCTGCCTCCGTCAACCTTGCCCGTCTCATATAGACAG